GGTGGGGGGCGCTGACCCGGCCCCGCCCCGGCCCCGGCGGACCCTCCGCGCCGGTGAGTGATCGCCCGACCCGCCCCTCCCGGCCCGGAGCTCCCGCCTTCCGGGGCCCTGCCCGGCCCTGGGGCCCCGCCGCACCGGAGAGGGGCCCGCTGACCCCGCCCCGGGGCGCCCGGGGACCCCGCGATCCGCCCGGGATCATCCCCAGGACCGCCCCGCCTGTGCCCTCCCACCCCCATCCGGAGAGGCCCCGGGACCTTCCTCGGGATCCCCAGCTCCTGAGCCTCCCCTTCCTCCTCCCTCTCTCTTTCCCTGCCCCCTCCCCCAATCCTGAGAGCCCCCGGGACCCTCACAGTGTCCCCCCACACCCATAGGTGACTCCTGAGATCCCCTTCTACGCCCTTTCCTGTCCCCCCGATTCCCGAGAGTCCCCACAACCTTCACAGGGCCCCCCAACCCCATGTGAGACACCCCCCAGGCCCTGAGATCCCGTTTCCCCACCTTTTCCTGTTCTTCTATCTACTCTTGTGAATCCCGGGGCCCTCCCTTGTCTCCCCCAGACCTGTGGGAGACCCCCCTTTGCCCTCCTTGACCCCCCTTTTCCTGTCTGTCCCCTCTCCCTCCTCTSCTGGGAGCTCTCAGGATWCCYCTGGACCCCCAGGCCCTAAGAARCTTCCTTCCTTACCCTCCTCATTTCAATCCTGAGCTCTTGGGTCCCTTCCTGGGGTCCCCCCAGCCTTTTGGGAAACCTCCTGAGCCCCCCTCCTTCTCYCCCTGTCTTTTCTGCCTCAGTCTGGGGAGGGGTCCTGGGGGCTCAGCCAATTCCWGCCCCTGTTTCCTCTTTTTGGAAGGAAAAAATCCTTGTATCGGTGGGACTGGGATGTGTGGGGTGGATGTGGGGACCCTTTTTGTGTCCCCCTGTCGCAGTGTTTGGTCAGAGTGCCCCTCCATCTGCTGCAAAGGAGGGTGATGCAGCAAAACCCACCCTCTGTGGGAGTGGGGCAGCTTGGGGGACACCCCGAGTCCCCTGTGTCCCCCTAAAGCCCAGAGACAATGGTGGGGGGATGAGGTGGGGTCTCACCCCTTGGTGAAGGCCAGGCTGGCCTGAGGGGTGGGGGGACAATGGGATGGACACCATGGGGTACAGGGGACATCTCCCCTGTGACAGCCAGTGTACCCCACTAACCTGGGCGGGGGTCCTTCCCGGCTCAGAGACCCCCAAGCCCCCACTGATTCACTCCTGGAGGGTTTAACCCAGGGACTCCTTCTCTTGGGGCTCTCCAGAGCTTATCTTGGGGAAACATCCCAGAGTGTGCAGTGGGATTTTGGCTGGGAGGGGGGTTTGAGGGGGTCTACTGGTGGGGGTTGAGGTGCCAGCGAGAACCCCGTGTGCCCCCAGCCCCCCGTGTCCCGTGCTATGAGCGTTCGACGTGACTTCTCCGTGAGCAGCTGCAAATGAAAATGGAGGATATGTCTTTGTCTGGCCTGGATAACAGCAAACTGGAGGTGAGCTGCCCTCCACCCAGGGGTTCTGTGTGTCCCCTGGGGTGTCTATGTGTCCCCCCAATCCCTAACAGCTCCCCCTGGGCCCCCAGGCCATCGCACACGAGATCTATACGGAGCTGGTGGAGGATGCCTGCCTGGGGCTCTGCTTCGAGGTGCACCGAGCTGTCAAGTGCGGGTACTTCTTCCTGGATGACACGGACCCTGACAGTATGAAGGACTTTGGTGAGCCCCCCAAGTCCCCCAGAGT